GAAAGGGAGAGGACCAGGAGGTTGATGTAGAATAGAAATGCGTTTCCCATCAGCTCTAATGGGCTGTGGAGTATTTTAATCAAAGTGTTTAGGTATCAAATGTGAAGGAAGATGAAAGAAATTTTGACTCTGAGAAGGAGTAAAGTGGGATATTTCTTTAAAGACAAGCCAAACACCCAAAACCTATTACAGAGATGAGTATATATTCTTTGTAATTAAAAAAAGAGAAAGAAAAACACAGACAAATATAGAAAGTTTAAAAGTCACTCTGTAATAGCATCACTTTGAGATGAGATGCTGGTTTTTTGCATTTACTCATTAGTGTCTATGTCCACATATAATATATGTGTGTAGATATAAAGGTATGTATATTTTAAGCAAATATGGAATCTTGTTGTATCTGTTTTTTAACTTGTAGCTTATGATTTATTAGGTCATTAGACTCTTACAACATACATTCATGACTGTACTGTGTCTAATGATTGCACATGGATAAACATGGACACATTTTCCTGTCCTGGAGGATGAAAGTTGTTTCTGATCGTTGTGATGAATGATATTTTGATTAGTGTTCTGGAAGCTGAATTTGGGGGCATGTTCTTAAGCAAAGAATTTCCTTGAGAAATGGATCAGTGGTTGTGCCCAGTTTTTGGGTGTGTGTTTGGTTTTTGTTTGCTAAAGGGAACAAAAAAGAAACCCTAGGTGTGGTTACTACCCTTCTGAAAAACTTGGAAAATAATTTGGAAGAAATAATTTATTTGTTCCAAATCATTATTTAGCAAAGTTCAGTACTATTTTGTCCCAATGTCTGATGTAAGCAAGAATTTAACTGAAGAGTGATTATTGTTGAAAAAGCAAAAGAGTGCTGTCTTGGAGAAAATGAAATGAGCTTCAGTTGACATGAAAGAAGTGGATAGATTGCAGCTAAAAATTTTTAAACGGAAATTTAAGTGTAGTAAGCATCAAAGGCAAAACGTCTACAGGCTATAAAGAGTGTGTATGCAGGAGCCTGTGATTCCTGAATGGGAGGCATGGGGATTTGTTTGGAGATGTGGTGGGAGATAACAGTAAGTAAGCTAAGGCCAGATAATTCAGTCTTGGATGACAGTGAACAAGATTGTATTTTCGGATAAAGTAGGGGCACTGGCAGCTTTTGAGGAGCTGAAATTATTGTTTGAAGAAGATAAATCTGAGAGCATAATAATTCATAATTGGCCATGATAGAAATAATATTGCATTGTTAGAGAGATTTTCTTGGTTATAATTTTCATTTTAGCACTCACTCGCTATATAATGCTTAGATAGTTCACTTAACTTTTCTGGGCTCCAACAGAATCATCCATAAGACCTGTATGAAATTAGGTGGGAGGGCCTTTATTACTTTTTTTCAGGTTTGCTTCCAGCTTAGCCTAGCTAGGAAGACCAAATATAAAATTATACTCTTTATCCAAGTGTGAGGTGATAATGAGCTGGGAAAGTAAAAGGATATATAGGAAAAAGGAGGCATACGGGTCAGAGAAGTCTCTTTCAAATTAGTTCATTCTTAAGAACCACCAGTAGAAGTAAGTTAGTTAGGTTATGGTGTGAAAATGATTAGGAGAAATCCCTAACTCATACACTGACTGTAATGTGACCTTAGGACAGCCAATTCTGTCTGACCTAATGTGAAAGAGTAAATAGTTTTTATTAAGACCTTAACCAATTGAATTCTTTCCTGTTCACTCCACTTTCCCTCACCCTAATATCTAATCTTTCACCTAATTCTTTTGTCTGTCCTAGATAAACACTTGTGCTCATCTAGTTCTCTCCACCCCTCTAGTTATCTGGATTACTGCTGCAACCTTTGTGATTAATTGGCAAGGAAACTACAGGATTACAGAAACAAGTTAAGAAAATTAAGCTTGTTTAAGTCAAACTGTTTTCATAATATTTCAAGCAATTTAATGCTCAAAATTATTTATGGGAACCAGAGACTGATCCAGGCAATAGAAGCATATTTAATGAATTAAAGAGTAGATACCATGTCCTAGACACTCTCACAGTTCTTTTCCATGTATAATTTCATCAATAATAATATAAAATTTTTGATGTATATTTAACTGCCATTTTCAGAATAAGAAACCTAGATTTAGAGAGAAATTAACTCACTAGCCCAGGGTTGCACAGTTGACATATTGTAGACCTGGGATTTGAATCTTGTTATTTCAGATGCCAACATCCACACACTTGTCAACACTTGAAACTACTACAGAAAGCAGCTGAAGATGGGAGACTGAATCTCAAATGAATGTTTGGGGGTTAGGTTGTATATTGAGGACTCTTTAGCTTAAGGTTGATAAATGATGATTTAAAACAGAGTTACTTCATTATGGAAAGAAGAATAGAGAGATTGCAGGAGAGGGCTGATAAGTGTACCCCAACAGTTTTCACTGAACCATGGAACTCTGAATTCTTAAAGTCTGTTACATATAGTTACAATTCCTTGTACTGTGCCTTTCATTTCCCATAAAACTTTCCAGAATGGCACACTTTTTCCACAAGTTCCTGTCACTTTTAAATTATGGTCAAGATAAACTCCAAATGAGCATCTTCTCTACTATTGTTGGTATTTCTGAGTGGCAATTTTTTCTAGCAATAGCAAGTCAAAATAACCACAGTTTCTATGTTTAGAAGAATATAATTCTAATCTCTCTACTCTAGGTTCTTCTGTAAACTTATTCCATTCCCTTTCATGGAGATAGTATATTTGCTTCATTGGAGGGGTGGTTTTAAAAACTCTGAGAAGATCTTCAATTTTCTTGTCTGTCTTTCATAAACTCTTGGTTTACATTATTTTGCATTGCTGTTCATAAACCACTTTCATCATGTTCTAAATTTAGACTTAATGCATTATCTTTTGCCTGGAGATATCTGCATCCCAGGTACCACTGATGGGGTCTTATTACCATCCAAGTGATGGGTGAGCCACCTTCCAGATCTCTTAGTGTTTGCTGTTATGAAACATATCTGGCATAAACTGTTACAGGTTGGATTGCCTGGGAAGCAGACTCTGGTCCAGAATCTGGTCCAGAATTCTCTGGAGTTGAACTTTCTCCTGCAGCCAACTTTGGTTGGCTGATTCCAACAGCCGCTGTTAGAGGTCTACTGACCATGAATCTGAGTTGTTCAATGACAGACAGTTTGCTGTTTATCCCTGTAGCTACCCACGATGGAAAGATCCAGGATGGAAATTTCAGCCAGCAATCCAAGTGTTACTGGGAATCCAAGTGTCTCAGATGAACACGATTATTTAATGCACCTGTTGGTGACATTTACTCCTCTTTACTCCTGGTGATCCACTGTTAGAGCACTGGGTCTACTTTAGTTAGTTAAGTAGCTCAGTCGTGTCCGACTCTTTGTGACCCTGTGGACTGTAGCCCATCAGGCTCCTCCGTCCACGGGATTCTCCAGGCAAGAGTACTGGAGTGGGTTGCCATTAACTGGAGCTAAAAAGCAAAATACAAGAAAACCTGCATCCTCTTTTTCCTCCCCAAATCAGAAGTGTTTATTGCAGAAATTTGGCTAAGGTTCCAGTTCCATGCCCCTGGCTGAGGTTGACTCGGGCTGGTCATGCCCATTTTCAACACTTTCATGTGTATTTCCAGATTGTCCTGTAGAAAGGTACTGTCAATACTACCAGTGGACATTGCTTCAGCAATGTATGAGGACAATGCTGAGTATATATAATTTTGAAAATCCTTGACAATTTCCTCAGGCAAAAATGGTGTCTAAAAGAGATATATTAAGGATATGTGCTAGCTCATGGATGCTAATCTTTAGCTCCTTGTTTGTCCTCTGATCTTATGCTCTGGAGTTGGCAGGGAGCAGGTGGGGGGAGGTGCCGGGGACAGGCCGTTCAGTGGGGACACAGGGAAAGCCTGAAACAGGAGCGGTCTTCTCAGGAGTCAGTGAGAACCCTGCTATCACCCCTGTGGAGATGGGCTTGTCTCTGAGCCACTGACGAGGAAACATGTGATTTGGCAATTTTGGTGACTATATCCTGAACCTGGGGAAAACCTGGTATTTGTGATAACACAGGATAGAGTTCTCTTGAAAATATTTCAATATTTCAATTTGGAATGTGATGCATTGTGTCAAGTGATAAGATTTTACTATGTTTAGTTTATAGTCTGTGTTTTCCTAGGCAGATACAGGCAAAGAGACAAAAGTAAAGGTGGCTTATAGTCCTACCGCCAGAGATAACCTAGTAACATTTCAGTCATTTCCCAGTGTGTTTTCCATGGATATGCTTGTGCCATTGGGTTTTTTTCTTTTTGGCCATACCACCCAGCATGCAGCACTTCCCTGACCAGGGAGAGAACCATGCCCCCTGCAGTGGAAGCACAGAATCTCAACCACTGAGCTGCCCGGGCAGCCCTCTCTTTGGGCTTTCTGCCCTGCTTGTTTCCTGGCTAGAGCCTGACAACCTTTCTACACCACTGCCCCCCAGCCCCACATCTCCATGTACACATTTTCATTTCCTCCGGGTACTACCTAGGTCGGCCCACACTTCCCCGTCTCACAGGCAGATCCTTGTCCCCGGGGACCAGGTTTGTTACCCAGTAGGCGGTGAGCGCTCAGTCTGTCCCTGAGGACTGTGGGAAGCAGCACGGGTCGGACCAGGAGGCCAGCGGGTGCAGGCGCTCACGGTGCTGTCCCGGATACTCCCCAGGTGTCCGCACCTCCCTCGCTCCTGGGGGGCCTGGTGGGACGGGGGTCAGAGTCACGCGGGGCTGGTCCCAGGGAAGTCAGGGCTGTCAGGGGCGTCGTGAAGGAGCCGTCATTTCCCCCACCGAGGTGGCGGGCGTGAGTGGGACCTGCAGATCGTCCCAGGAATTCAGTCTCAGTGCCAGGGGAAGACAGGATAGGGGATATATCGGGCCAGAGCTGCGTTTTCTGATCAGTGAGATGGGTCACTGGCAAAAAGGGCCAGAACTTCTGGCTGGGGGCTCATGACTCACCTTGAGGAAGACAATCTGGATCTTCTTCCAGTTGGTAGTTCTCCGCCGTGAGAGACATAAGCCTTGTTTGGTGTGATTTCAAGGTGATGACGCTGGAGGAGATGGGTGTGTGTGCATGAGTGTGTCAGAGACAGGAGGTGGACTGAACAATTGAAATCGGCTGCTGGCTCCTGAACGAGGGCGTCTCAGGGCTTGGGCTGATTCTCAGCCAACAAGTTAGCAAAATAGACAGTTGGAAGCTGGATCTACCGCTGTAGTCTGGACGGGCTGCCCTTAGAATGTTCTGGGAAAGAAAGTTTTTCCTCCAGCTGACGTGGCCTGTATGTGCTCCGCCAGCCTCAGTGGTCAGAGCTGTGCAGGGCTCGGCCTGTGTTCGAGGCCTTGTTGGGAACGAGATGAGCCCCTGAGGGGAGAAGCAAAGTGCTCCTTTTCTAAAAAGCAGACAAACGCCCAAGGTGGCAGTTAGTCCTTACGGGCCTCAGAGCATAATCTCCAGGGCACGTTTAAATCCCACCCAGCTAACAAGCGTGACCCTGAATGCCTTCTAATTCTGTGCCAACAGCCCCAAGAAATCTGATGACAAACTGACCCAGAGTCTCTTTTTCTATGGGGAAAAGATATTCACACATAAAGTCTCTTTTTCTATGGGAAACAACATTAATATGTGCATACTTTGAGACACACTGCATCCTGTCTTTGTAACAGTTCTTTGCTGCATCTGTTCCACACACGTGGTAACCATATTCCTCACCTGGGGGCTGCCCCTGACCGGGGGTAGTCAGCACTCCCGAGGGGGGTGCAGACCTGGCCCTTCCACAGGCATGCGGGGGTCCATCCAGGTGGGGTGAGGCTGTCAGAAGGGGAGGAGGGTGACGGGAGCTCAGTGGCACTCACAGTGAGATGGTTCTGGAGGCTGTGGTGTCCCGGAAGGCTGGCCTTTTCACTCCTTCGCTTCTGTCGTGATGGTGTGTGTCGGGGGAGCTCTGTGCGTGTCCTCTTCCTTGTTCACTGTCGGGGATGCCGAGTGCCTGGGGCTCTGGCTTTCCCCCGGATTCCAGACACAGGGGCAGGCAGATACTCAGGAGGGCGGAGTCCCTGCCTCCTCACCCCAAGGGCCATCCCCTTGTCTGTCTTGTAGAAACCCCAGGAAGGGGAAGAGGAGGAGGACAGCAAGAGCAGCAAAGCCCCCACCACTGTCCGGGAGGAGCGTCTCTGAGAGAGGGCGGAGGAGCGACTCCGGGGACTCGGACCGCCCCCACCTCTTCAGCCAGCCCAGCTCTGCCTGCCAGCCCCATGGCCTTCACCCGAGCAGCTTCTGGGGGAACTGGGAGGAACATCTGTGTCTTGGAGGACAGAGCCTCTGCCTCCTGGAAGCCACTCCAGAGCGTGCCCCGTCTCCGTGGGGGAGGTGCACTTTCCACCACACAGGTGGGGGCCCTGCCTTCCCCCTGCAGGCTCTGGGAGCTGGGGAGGCAGAGAGAAGCCTGGAGTCAGTCCTGGCTGCTGCCTCACCTTCCTGCTCCAGCCCATCTCTAGGGAGATGTTCTCCAGAGGAAGGGTGAGCCCAGCCCACTGTCTGTCTCCTTCACTGCAAACTCACCTGGATCATTCCCCCCAAGAACTGCAAAGGTCTCCTGAGAGATGAAAGGAAAGGAGAGGTGGGCCTTGATGGGACTTGGGTCTCCTGGGTTAGGTAAGCGCATCCACCTCTGGTGGCCAGTGTTTGCACCCAAACCCTCTCCTCATCCCTCTTCCAGCGACAATCCTTTCTCAGACTTCCTGAATATAAAGGGACTCCTTTCAACCAGCCCAAGCTCACCTCTCCTGCCTTGCCTGCATCTGGCTCTACTCATGGTTTTGGGAAGAATCGCCTCAAAATAAGACGTTTTTGCCAACTAGTTCTCCCGTGCCGTGAGCTCTGTAATCAAGACCCCTATGCTGTGTGTTGTGCCCACTGCCTTGGCCTCAGCATGTTGGAGTTGCCTGCGTGGCAGCGGTGCTTGGGCCAGGACCGGGGTGAGCCTGGGGTCTCTGCGTCTGTGTGCACAGACTCTGCCTGAGAAAAGTCAGACTTCTGCAGGAGGGCCGAGTCAGGAGTGGGAGGGAAGTGGGGAGTGATGGTTTTTACTTTTTGATGAGGCCAAAAATTAGTTATGATCTACTGTTAATATCAGATTCAAGGCAGTAAAAGATTCTCCATGTGGTCTGCCATGTCATTTGTTGGGGCAGAGACAGCTTTGAGGGTGGGAATGGGAAGGAGGGGTGGGGACTCCATGCCACGAGAGGTAGTCCTCTGCTGCATAGATGTTGCCATCTAGTGGGTTATTATTTTTTAAATTTTTTTTATTGAAGGATAATTGCTTTACAGAATTTTGTTGTTTTCTGTCAAACCTCAACATGAATCAGCCATAGGTAAACATACATCACCTCCCTTCCCCTCTCCCTCCCCATCCCACCCCTCTAGGTTGATACAGGACCCCTGTTTGAGCTTCCTGAGCCATAGAGGAAAAAAAGCTATACACAGTAGATAATAGACAGATAGCTATCTATTTTACATATGATAATGTAATTTTCCATGTTACTCTGTCCATACATTTCACCTGCTCCTCCCCTCTCCCCATGTCCATAAGTCTATTCTGTATGTTTGCGTCTCCATTGCTGCCCTGTAAATAAATTCTTCAGTACCGTTTTTCTAGATTCCATATATGTGCACTAGAATATGGTATTCCTTTCTCTGACTCACTTCACTCTGCATAATAGGTCCTAGGTTCATCCACCTCATCCGAACTGACTCAAATGTGTTCCTTTTTATGGCTGAGTAATATTCCACTCTGTATATGTACCACGACTTCTTTATCCACTCATCTGTCGATGTACATCTAGGCTGCTTCCATGTTCTAGCTATTGTAAATAGTGCTCCAATGAACAACGGGATACATGTGTCTTTTTCAACCCTGGCTGCATCAGGGTATATGCCTAGGAGTGGGATTGCTGGGTCATATGGTGGTTTTATTCCTAGTTTCCTAAAGAATCTCCTTACCGTTTTCCATAGTGGCTATATCAATTTATATTCTCAACAACAGTGCAAGAGAGTTCCCTTTTCTCCACACCCTGTCCAGCATTTATTGTTTGTAGACATTTTAATGATGGCCATTCTGACCAGTGTGAGGTGATATCTCATTGTGGCTTTTATTTGCATTTCTCTAATAATGAGCAATGTTGAGTATATTTTCATGTGTTTGTTAGACATCTGTATGTCTTCTTTGGAGAAATGTCTGTTTAGTTCTTTTCCCCCTTGTGGGTTCTTTTTAAGATGAGGCTGCAGAGGTTACACCTGGCCTATTTGGGGACAGCAACTCAGTGCCTAACACGTGACTGGGCCTGCTTTCCATATAGCGTCCACTCGAAGACAGTTCACCCGAGTGTGCCTGCTACCAAGAGCCCACTAGTTTCTGGCTATATCTCCAAGGGTGGTTGGAATGTCTGTTCTACAAGCACAGCAATCATGCAGCAGATTGTCTGGGCCGGAATCCAGTTTTGTTTTCTGCAGTTCTGGATTGTTCCCCTTCCTGTCACTCTTCCCTTCGTAATGCGTTTACCTTAGGTGCGTTACAAGAATGGGCTGCAGTCATCACTTTCCTGGACATTTCTTCTCTAGCGAGCTGACTGTGTCTGGAACACTCTGACACCCTATCTGCCAGCAATCCTTAGGCGGACAAACAACATTAGGATTCCACTTTAAATCACCTGGGAAGGGAGCCAAGCCTGGGCTGTTAGAGAAACCTAATAGCCAGAGTATCAGCCAGATACCTGTATCATTTCTTTAGATCCTTTGGGATCTTCCCTTTATTTATCAGGAATCACATTTCCTTGAGGCACGCCTAGAAGATCCATATCTTCTTGTGCTTTCATTCATTCCTTTCTAAGATGGGTTCCCTGCAGATCTCCACCCGAACATTAACTCTCTGTAAGATCACTACTACAATGGCTGATAAGGGAAAGATAGCTCGTACCACGGATCTATTTTTCTGGGGGGGACAAGAGGCCTGGGATTGCTACAACCACTTATGGTACCATAAAGGAAGCCAGCCTGTGGATGAAGCCAGCACAGGAGGGTGGAGTCAAAAGAACTCCAGAGAAATGGAACTGAATCCTGATCAAACCATTCGTGAAGCCTACAATCCTCTTTTCAGTTTTGTCAGCCAATGTCATCTTTACTGCTTCAGCTCGTTTAAGGAAGATTTTGTTCCTTTCACCTAAAGAGCCTTAGCTGATTGAGAATTCTCCGCACAAGCCCCCTGCTCCCTTCCCATCTCCTGCTTTTCACTTCCGCACATCCCCATCTGCAGTTAGTGACCTTAGTCCTCCAACAAGACTAAGTGCTGCTCCATCTGCCCTAAATACTGCCTCACATATTAAGACATATGAGCTCTGTGATTCAACTCGGATCCCACCTCCTCAGAGAGGCTTTTCCCAGTGATCTATGTTGTGTACTCCCTGCCTTCCGAATCACAGTACCTGGTTATCTAGAGTTCTCATCACTGCCTGGCTCCTTCATTTTTCCTTCCCAAGTGTCTGGCATGGAGTAAGTGTTCAATAAACACTCGCTGAAGTAGCGAATGGGTTCTCGCCTCTGCACACTGTGCGTGAGGGTCCGGCCAGTGTGGAGGTGCTCAGGGCTGTGTCTGGATGGCAGCCGTCTGCTCCAGGGCCTTGTCCTCGGGCCCCAGGCTCTCTTCATGCTCATGCAGCTGTGTCTTCCATGTTGTCTGGTTCTGCTTTCTCAAGAACCTGCTGCTTCTTTGTGAAGAAAACAAGAGAGAGTTCTGGCTGTTCAGCTGTGTGCTCAGAATTTGGAAGGTGTGGATAGAGATGAGGAAGATTTGACTTCATGAGAAATGAACAAGAGACAAAAGGCAGCCAGGTTTACCTGGGTCTTGTGCTGTCCCACTCATTATGGCGTATTTGACCTGCAGAAAGCTGGGATCTTCCTCTGCTAGGCCTCAGAGGAGAGCAGGAGCACTCTGGGCTTAGGGGGGCCAAAGTACCAGGAATGATCAGAGCAGAAGATTTCTCTATTTATCACAAATATTATTACACAAATACAGGGGACTGGAAGCTCTAAAAATAGCCCAGACCCTTCCAACCATGATCCACCTGTAGGTGCAAGGAAGGGGCCATGCTCACTGGCCAGGGAGCCCTTCTTAGAACTGCTTGTCCCATGGATGGTTCAAGATCTTGGGTATGGCAGCAGAGAGAAACCCAACCTGGATGGACAATCCCTCATAGCAGCCCTTGGTCGCAATGCTCTGAGCAAAGTAGCAGCTTCAAGTTTCATAGTTTGCATCTTCCAACCATACAAGTCAAGTCGACAGTTAAAAAGAAAAAGAAAAAAGGAGAAGGCTGGAAAAGCAGTGCTGGAAGAGGCTGTGGGTGGGGGAATGATACACAGTGGACTTCAGATATACCGGCAGTTCCTTGATTTGGATGGACCTACATCATTCTAAAATGATTCTTCACATACATTTAAATGGCACTGTCTTTCTGTATGCATGTTATAGCTTAAAAATGTTAAATTAAAGAAAAAAAAAACCCTAAATGTGAAAGGCTAGAAGTAGATGATGGAGCAGAAATGAAACTGAAAAGCATAGAGAAGGAAGAGGTGAGCAAAGGCGGGAGATGACGTCTTGGACATGGTGATGTTGACCTCAGTTTCTCTTCTTCTGTCTGGATCCTGGTTCTGCTTCTAGGTGCCGGAGCCCCACTAGCATGCCCAGGATTGAGGTACCTTAAATACAGACAGACAAGATTAGTGGCTGACATAAGCACCGTGCTTTCTTATATTGCTTGTATAAGGCTTGTCCTTAGGGTTGGGATGACTCCTGTGGGAGTTCCAGGGTCACTAAATGCTTACTTGCCACCGTGAGGATTGCCAGGATGAAAACCGTGGGAGCCACGGTCCCAAAAACAAACAACTCGAAGAGGAAGTGCCCCATGCCAATGAAGAAGGTCCAGAGCGTGATGTAGTAGAGCCTATAGGGGAGCAGATGAAAACGGGACTTAAGGTAAAGCTTGTTCAGTGCAGAGGAAGTGGTCAGACTTGTAACACACAAATCAAAACCCAGGAAATGACTATGGCTAAAGAGAAAGGAGACTTGGTCCTGCTTGATCACGTCAATTTTACTCCTGTCTAGGGCAAAACTGAAGCTTTCAACTGCTAAATCGACAGCAGAATGACCCAGCCATCCAGAGTGGCTTTGCAAGTCTAAGCAAGGTGGTGAAACCAGTAATAGCAAAGCAGAGTCTGGAGTATGGTTATTCTAGGTAGTGTAGATGATTTTGGATCAATCACATTTACATATTCTACTTGCTCAAATTGTCTTCACTCTAGCCCAAGCCACTTTGCACCTGTCTGGCCAGGGGCTGGTCAGTGCTTATCTGATCGATGCGTCCAAATGAAGGGCATGAATGAGGAATGGGTAGCAAGGGACTTTCTGGGGCTTTTAGATGCTTTTGCAATATGAGCTGTATCTTAAGATACTTTGCATCTTAACCTAGCAAAATGGTCAGATGGAGGACACAGTGACAACCTCACAGGAAGAGAACTTGTTCCTCAGTTTTGACAAGAAGGTGGAGTAGACAGAAATTATAGGAAGATGGACCACTTTGATAGCTGGTATCTTTCTTCATGATGAAATTTAAAAATTATGAAATATCTCAAGAATACAAAAAATCATACATAATAGAATTTACCCCTATGCAACCAATACCCTACTCCATCAAATCTCATTATCTTGACATTTTTGTTTCAGATACTTTTTTCCTAAGAAATAAAATATTACAGATTTCAGTTAAAACTTCCTGTGGATCCTTTTCCACCCTGATCCCATTCTCCTGCCTCCTTCCTCCCCAGGAGGAACTACCATCTTAAGATTGACTTTTATCATTCCTATGCATACTTTTACACACTTAGCAAACATTTATGTATGGGGTTGATGTCTTTTTTTTTTTAAGTGAAAGTAGGTTTCTTTAGAGAAGTACACATTAAATGGGCAGAATGCAGACTGTTTCAGAAAGTAAGAACAGCTGGGAATTGATTTCAAATTTCTGGTTAGGCAGGGAATATAATCAGAGAGCATATCAGAAGCACATGGACTAAAATCCCAGACTTTAAAAAAAAGGTTGGAAATAGAAATCAGCATTTCTGCCTGTCCTATATTGGGTAAAGGGGTAATGAATGGGTAAGAGAGGTAAAGATAAGTCTCAGCTGTCTCGGCTCATCCCCAAAGCACAACAAACAAAAGATATACCCCTTCTACTTGTCAGTAATTCTTCATCATGGTAAAGGTCGTTAAAAATTATACAGTCCTTACTCCCTCCCAGTCACCCTGAGAGAAAAAACAGATACACGAGTCTCATTTTCTACATGAAGGGGCTGAGATGCAGAGATAAACTTGCTGCTTCAAAGCTATTACCAATAGAAATGAGACCAGAGACTATTTTCCAGTTTTCATTCTTGGGTCTCAGAGTGTTTCCACTAAGCCATGTTACTTCCAAAAATATATGTCAATGTAGTAGAACAAGTAAACCATAATTTCAGGTTCAAAGAAATGAAACAATAAAGGTGAATAGATCACAGTGCTAACAGCCCTCAAATCCCACTTGTCTTGGTCTTCCTCAGTTTAAATGAATCGAGTCTCTAATACACAGATCTACAGAATCAGCAAAAAAAAATCACTGCTTCCCAGGGCTACTAGGAGGAGACTTAATCAATGTCATGTGGAAGCATGTGGTACAATAAGAGGGGCTCAATAAATATCACCATCTTCTCTCTTGTCCAGATGCTGAGAGTCTGGCTAAGACAAAAGTATTATAGTATGAAGCTCTTTTGGTGGCCTCACTTGGGGACCTGAGCAGTTTCCACCTTGATTGTGGTGATGATTGGTGTTGGGAAGAAGCTCGAGCCCCTTGCAGTGGCCAGTTCAGATTACAACACTATCTAGTCTATATGAGAGCTTCCCAGGTGGCAAAAAGGTAAAGAACCTGCCTGCCAATGCTGGAACTCAAGAGATGCAGGTTTGATCCAGCCCTGAGTCAGGAAGATCCCCTGGAGTAGGAAATGGCAACCCGCTCCAGTATTCTTGCCTGGAAAATACCATGGACAGAGGGGCCTGGTGGCTACAGTCCATGGGGTCGCAAAGAGCTGGACTTGAGTGTGCACCCACACGTGCACGCAGTCTGTGTGAGTCCTCTGAAGAGGCAGAATACAGAGGGGTGCTCGGTTCTCTGTGACCCTCACTTCATCACTCTGTGTAAACACACAGCCGTTTACTGGTGGCTCATGATGTCATGGATTGTGATTTTTTTTTCATCCCTGCCTATCAAGGAGGAATGTGAGAATAAGGTATGTCATGGCCTCTCTAAAAAGGGCAAGCACACTACCTCTTTAGTTAGTAGAAGAAAGGCTGACTCGTTAGGAAAGAAGTAGAGGGATATGATGCAGGCCACTGGATCACAACATAACCAGTTTGCTATGTCCGTTTCAAAGATTTTGAAGCTTTAAAGACCTTCAGGCCTGTGATGTTTTCTATCCCCGGAAGGAATGGTACCTAGTAATCTTTTATCTTCACATCCTAGGTTACTGTATCAAATCATAGGCCATACGATGGAATCATAGTCCATCATAATAGTGCTTCTTGATTCTGGGCATTTATTAGAATCAACTGAAGAAATTTTATCAAATTACTAAGACCTGGATATCAGAACAGTTAAATCGTACCCTCTGGAGGTGGACCCAGGAGCCTCCTAGTATTTTCTAAAGCCTTGTCTTTTGATTTTAATGATAAACAAGTCTCCAAGAGAAGACCACAATGGCTATGCTTAGCACCCACTGCCAACACAGGGAGACTGGTGCTGTTCCCTCCCTCACATACGTTTTGTTGTGAATGTCGATGGCGCAGAGGCAGCGAACCACTGATGAGAGCAGCGTCCAGACTCCAAAGGTCCGAGCTTGGAGGCCATTCACTGTGCAGCAGAAACAAGCAGGAGTGTTGAGAAGGGCGGGGCAGGGTTCCCTCCAAACTCCTCCAACTTCACTGGAGCAGTCAGAGAGCTGAGCCTGCGATCCCCTTGGCTGGGCAAGGTACAGGCTCTGATGCTGCATGTGGGAACTAGGAGTGGAAAGACTTCCAGAAGGAGAGTTGGTTCAGCCTCTCTTCAAATGCCTACAGATGGGCGGGCGAGTTCCAAGAGTAAAAACCCAATCAACAGCCCACTTTGGCAGTAACTCTCGGGCTAGTGGTTTATGGGTCTGCCTGGAATCTGCTCTGGTGTTGGTGAAGCCCAGTGATTCTGAATCAGGATAAATGTGGGGGAACACGGTAGAGAGTGGTCTGTCAATACAAGATGCCAGGAGGTCGGCAGACTTTCAGCGAGGCTGATGCAAGAGAGAACACAGAAATACTGAGCCCTGTCTAGAGAGCCACATCTGGTCTTTAAGAGACCCAGGTCCCTGGATCTCCTGAATTCAGATCTATATTATGTGAATGAAGGCCTAACTAGGCTGGATTCCTGTGTGTGTGGGAAGGGAATAAGCACTGGTGTTAGCTGGGGCCACTCTGCTCTTGCTAGCTTCATTCTGGCACTACTGTGTTAAACTTCTTGTCCAGAGTGTCTAAATCATATTCCATCATAACAGTGCTTCTTGACCCTGGGCATTTACTAGATTCAACTGACGAAATTTTATACAATTACCAAGACCTGGATACCAGATCAGTTAAATCATATACTCTAGAGGTGGGCCCAGGACACCCCTGGTATTTTCAAAAGCCTTGCCTTGTTGATTTTAATGTACTGGTATTGATCTATGGTGAAAAGCAAGGATACTTCCTTTGCTGGTCTCCTGAGCAAGAGAACTTTTAAGGGACAAGACTCACAACCAAAATGTCTTTCAGGATTTTCCTTTAAGGATTTTTCAGCCTTTGGAAAACCAGACAGCAACACCAAATTCACAACCCCACAGATCTTTAGATGGTAGTCATTTTGAGAAAAAAATCCCATATCACAAACTAATATCTAGTGGTTAATCCTGGAGAGCTATATTCTTTTTTTTTTTTTACATTCTTTATAAAGCATTTTGAAAGCGCTTCTGATTAAGCAACAGGAAATTTCTCTATTCTAATTCTATATATCTCTTTATGAGTGTGAACTAAAAATGGAATATCTCAGTAATCCTAACCAGAGTAGGCATCAGGTAAAATTCTTCCACTGGATGCTCCAGGGTCCTGCTATCCCCAGCAAAGTACCAGGAGGTCATGAGGGACCTATTTCCAGGCTATGTGTGCATGCAGCCCTGTGCAGGCTCACACACACAGTTCTGCTCACCTCTATCCCCTTCGGCAAATCACATAACCCCTGGGCTTTTCTGTCTCGATTTTAAATTCAAAGGGCTAGGCCAGATGACCTCTAAAAGCCTATGAATCTATACAGAGTTCCTGGACCACTGGAGGACAGCACTGGAGGGTGAAAAGTGGAATTCTTCCACCCACTTTTCCAGGTTCTCTAAGCCTATTGTGCTTGAGCTTTGTTCAAAGTGAGCCTTAGCCTGCTTACTTTCATTTTGTACCCAGATGCTGCAGAAATGTGAGCTAGGTCAGAGCCTGAATCTGGGTTACCTATAAATGTGACATACAATTGTCACTACTATGAAATGGTGCTGTAGCTCAAGCCACACCACATATCAGAGCAAGGAGGCACACGCTGAGATGTGCAACCACTCTCTACAGAGAGACTTAGGACACTGGGGAAAGCCATCAGGGGCCTGCGGAAGTTCTCTTTGGGAAACCAACCTGGAGGGATTTTGGATATCTTTTCAGGGTCTGTGTCATGGTTTGAGAAGACCTTGGCTTAGTAATTCTCCATATGCAATGTAGGGTATAAACGATATGCTCCATGACCTGATTTCTGAAAGAAGCTAACAGGAAAACCTTCATGGTTTCCTATCAGGCAGCAGAGTCATCAAGGAACTCTGTTTCCTCACTTGTCCTTGTAATGGTATTTGTACAGACCAGCTGCCGAGGGCACTGTAAAATGAAGGGAAAGGTGATCAGAGAAGCTTGCAGGCAAAAAGACCAACTGTTACCCACCACGTCTGTTCCTCTAGTGGCTTAGGATCACTAGCTTAGGCAGCATCAGAATCACCCTGGAAGTTTCTAAAAAGAACTTCCTGTGACCCATCCAGGAGGTGGAAGATCAGTAATTAGGTCTGGAGAGGGAAATAGCCATCCGTGCTTTGTGTGGTTTGTTTTTCGCAGTTATTGTGATGTACAGCCAGGTCTGGGACCACCACTTAGGCCACTCCCACAAAGGATGCAGATTTTTGCTTTCTTACCCAGGTCTGGCTTGCAGGTATAAACCTTTTCATAGAGAAAGGTGTGGTCTCGGAAGCCCTTCAGCAAGAAACCCATAGCTATGACAGACGTCATCACCAGCCAGCTTCGTAACCCATTCAGGAATCGGCTCATGGCTCCCCTCCAACCTGAGAGGGCTTTTTGCCTTGGAAACAAAAGCAAAGGGCACGAGACAACAGATGGTTAATGTGCTTCAGCCGTAAGCTCTGCAGTTACCCTGCGTCCCACTCATGAGGGCTGTACTAATCTTACTTCGTCAGTCATTTCATAAACTCTTCTCCCAAATACCTGAGGCTCATCTACCCCCATGCACCCTTCATAGGGCTGGCGCACTGCCTGTGAATATCTACCTTAACTCAAAGTGTGCTGACAGGAGTTTAAATTTTAAAAAAGGCTAAATAATGCAGCGGGTGGAAATGACAAACCTTGCAGAAAAAATGAAAAGAAAGGGAACAGAAGAGAGGGAGCTGTCCAAACATCACTATAAAGAAATAAAATGGACTTTAATGTAAGATTTCTAGAAATTGGTCTCAATATTTCATCATGCTAATAGTGGTGAGTCAACACTATAGTGTGCAAATAGTAGCACCATTCTTATTTTCGTCTAAGGAATTTATCCAAAATATTAGCCTAAATCAGAACTCTCTTCTCTTGGCTGAAATCAGTCCCCTGGGGTCTTTACTTCTAACCTGGTGCTTCATGTCATTCTTTTGTAATGCAAGTACCTCAAAGGTAATTATAAATCTACTAACAGATACAGCCTTGCTACTGGTGATCGATCCTTCCAAGCACAGAGAAGTCTTGCAAGTCTGAGTGGCATCTATGGTTTGAGGGCAATATTTACATGCTTTAAGTTTTCTCTACTTTGGCTCTCAGTGATTCCATGTTCCATAAATTAGGAAAACAATATAAAAGCTAAAAATAAAAAAAATTGTGGTGACTTGAGAAATAGTGAGAAAATTAGAGAAAGAAACCGCTATTTTGATGTTGGGTTGTGGAAAAAATTACAGTTATTGATTATTTGTATACACCATGTGCTGTGCCAAACACCTACCATATATTATCTCATTGAATCCTTAAACAAGGTCAGGAGACACTATTAATATTTCCACTTTACAGATGAGGGCTGCAATAGAGATGTTAAGTGACATGCTTGAGGTTACACAGTCAATAGGTGAAAGAGCTGAGATACAAAGCATGGTCTGTTGGTCTCTAAGATGGTCTCACTGAGCATATTTTGATGAAGTTTCCATTTTTGAGAGAGGCAAGCAAACCAGAGCCACCTGTCTTCAAGTGGTATAGAAAATACCATCAGGCTATGTACTTTTTATTTAAAAAACAGAACTAAATGTTAGATCAACCCGTGCTGAGCACTGATTCAAATTATCTTGGTTTAAATGAAAACCATGTAGATAAAAATCTAATCATGGAATTGCTTCTTCCCATCTTTGTTATGTGACCCATGGTTTATCTACTGTCTGGTTAATTTCTTTGGCCTGAAGTGGCACTGAATTATCACGCTTCCTTTGTCACTTTGACAGTAGGCCTTTTGCTAAGGTCCTAAATTACTCAGCTGAAACAAACAATAACGTCAGTAATGTCTCAAGACAGCGTGACACACCAAAAAACAGAGAAAGTTCCAGAGGTAGAAGGGTCAGTGGATGAACCCCTCAGTACAAGTGGGTCACAAAAGTGGACTCTGTCAAAGTCCAGAGAGAATGAAGCTCTAATGGAATCACAAGCAGCTACAGCATGGACCAAGATACACACACTCCCCTCCCCTCACCATCCTCCTTGTTATCTCACCCTCCCTCAGTAGGAGACTTCAGCTCTCAGAAAAGCCGCATGGATGGCCTCCCTCTTTGACAGAACTTATGCCCGTTTCACAGACGCTCTCAGAAACTCCAGAAGATAGCTGATGAAGGCAGAGCCTGAGCACTCTTCCAAACTGCTCTGCCAGCCCCTCAGCACGGCTTCCTTAACGCTTTTGGGGGCCTCTGAGAGAATCCAACACGTGTTCCCAAAGTTTGCCCTGCCCCAGGCCAGGAAAGGTGTGGGGTTTAGTAGAGTCAGGAGTGAGCGGTTCCTTTCCTGGTCTCACTATTCAGTAGCTGTGTGACCGTGGGCAAGTAATTCACACTTTACAGCTTAGGTTTCCTTACCTGAAAAATGAAGATTAAAATGACCTATTCCAAGGGTTATTATAAGAATTACTGTAGAAAGCAAAGGTACCTCTCATTGTGCCAGGCTCCGAGTGGCCACTCATTCGTTCATCGATTCACTCGTTCTGCACCCACCAAGCTTTCTTCTTTCTCCCAGCTCCCTCCTCGCTTGGTCTCTGAAATCTCTTTTCTCCCTACAGTGTTGCCTCCCGAATATCTTCCTTCTATCCCATCTGCATTGTTCCAGGCTGTGCGGATCCTCCGCATTAGAAGCCACACAGATACCTACCTCCCCCCACCACATACACCCTACCTGGCGAGAGTACTCTCAGCACAGAAGCAGCAGCAGCAGCAAAGAGACTGCCCCGCACAGCTCCGGACCTGTCTACCTGAGCCCTTGTCCCCGCCCCCACTCTCAGCCCGGCTCCAGGATTGGGTTGTTTCTATCAGTCCTCGTTCTGATTGGCTGTTTCGGTTCTGCTGGAGCAGGAGACCCCTTTACTGACAATCTGTGGTTGACGCTGCCCAAGCCCACCCCCTGATGCTGAAGCTGAAACTCCGATACTTTGGCACCTCATACAAATGACTGGCTCATTGGAAAAGGCCCTGAAACAGGGAAAGATTGAAGGCAGGGTGAGAAGTGGATGACAAAGGATGAGGTGGTTGTGTTAGGTAGTTAGAATAGGAAAAGGAGTCCGGAATGGTGGTGGCTAAAAGAGAAGGAAGGGAAAATGGAACAAAGGAAGGTCTGTGTGCCGGAGTGAAGACCTCAGGTAAGACAAACAGCACTCCTGGCTGGGCCAGTTTACATAGCACAGGCCCCGGGGGAGGAGAAAAAAAATATGAAGAGAGGAGCCAAAATTGGGCCAGGGGCCTCTCTTCTCCTCGGGGCTTTTGGATTGGCATGCCCTCACGCCTCGAGGATGTATTTTCCTTTACTTTCTGAATAAAACTGAGATGTAACACGGAGCTGTAACACTTTTCCACTCGAGGGCTGTGACACTGGTCTATCTGAAGGCTGTGACACTGGTCTGTCCGAGGGCTGTGACACTGGTCTGTCCGAGGGCTGTGACACTGGTCTATCTGAAGGCTGTGACATTGGTCCATCCGCGGGCTGTGACACTGGTCTATCTGAAGGCTGTGACACTGGTCTGTCCGAGGGCTGTGACACTGGTCTATCTGAAGGCTGTGACATTGGTCCGTCCGAAGGCTGTGACACTGGTCTGTCCGAGGGCTGTGACACTGGTCTGTCCGAGGGCTGTGACACTGGTCTATCTGAAGGCTGTGACACTGGTCTGTCCGAGGGCTGTGACACTGGTCTATCTGAAGGCTGTGACACTGGTCTGTCCGAGGGCTGTGACACTGGTCTATCTGAAGGCTGTGACACTGGTCTGTCCGAGGGCTGTGACACTGGTCTATCTGAAGTCTGTGACACTGGTCTGTCCGAGGGCTGTGACACTGGTCTATCTGAAGGCTGTGACACTGGTCTGTCCGAGGGCTGTGACACTGGTCTATCTGAAGGCTGTGACACTGGTCTGTCCGAGGGCTGTGACACTGGTCTATCTGAAGGCTGTGACACTGGTCTGTCTGAGGGCTGTGACACTGGTCTATCTGAAGGCTGTGACATTGGTCCGTCCGCGGGCTGTGACACTGGTCCGTCCGAAGGCTGTGACACTGGTCTGTCCAAGGGCTGTGACACTGGTCTATCTGAAGGCTGTGACACTGGTCTGTCCGAGGGCTGTGACACTGGTCTATCTGAAGGCTGTGACATTGGTCCGTCCGCGGGCTGTGACACTGGTCCGTCCGAAGGCTGTGACACTGGTCTGTCTGAGGGCTGTGACACTGGTCTATCTGAAGGCTGTGACACTGGTCTGTCCGAGGGCTGTGACACTGGTCCGTCCGAGGGGTGTAAGGTGGTCCATCCATCGCTTCAAATTTTTGTTGCAACAAGACAGAACCGAGGAAATTTCAAACTCCCCTAACGTCTACCGAGCCATGACTTGCATTTAACGTGGCTGAAACAACATCAGCTCTTCCCCTGCAAGGAGGAGGCCAAGCACAGCAGGAGCCCAGCTCAGCCAATGCTCCCATGGTGGAAGCTCAACCTGAAGAAAACCCGGTGCAGGGGAAGTGACAGAAGCCCAGTGTTGGGAACCAGGACAGCGAAAAACAAACTCAGCAGAAAGCTCCCCTGGCTCAGTCTCAGATTGCAGAAGACCTCCAGTTAAGGCAGGAGGTCCTTGTTCCTATGGCTGGAAGGACATATAGCTAACATATCTTAATTTCTTTACAATCTCTCGTTTCTTGTTTCCTCGAACCCCCATGAACAGGTGACTGGCAGTGGGTGCAAATGAGGGATGCTGGCCGGGGCTACTCCTCAGTGTGTCCCAAAGGCTCCACTATCTGCTGGGCCCCAGTAGGTGTTGCCCAAGTGGTTCGGGGTTCTTCTGTCCTTGATCTTCTTTGTGCCAAGGATCAGGCCAATGAAAACTGTGAGCACAGGTCAGGTATTTAGCGGATTTTCTGGCAGGTAATGAAGATTCCTTGGTACGTTTTTCCCACTGGTTTTTCCTCCTGTCCTTTGCTCCTCTCTCCTGGGACTTGAGCCAGGCCAAAACCCGTGGTGTCTGGCTTCAGGACCCTAATGAAGCTCAGGCTCTGATGTCTCATTGCAAAAATTCAGTTAGAGACACAGCAATAGGTAACAGGTGGATTTATTTGGATTCAGAGAAAAGCACATGCCACAGGGTGTGGGCCATCGCAGGGGAGACTGAGGTGGCCTTGGAATGTGGTGTGGTTAGTTTCCTGGAGCTGAGTGAGTTCATATGGTAATGAGTGGGAGGGTCATCCCAACCATTGGGGAACCACCCACTCACTGTCTTTTGACAGTGCCTTGGAACTGTCCTGCCACCTCTGGGTGTGTCATTTAGCTTACACATTGGGGATCAAGGT